AAATTGTTCGTAACAATCTCATGAACAATAGTTTTTGGAATGTCTAATATCAGTGACATTAAACGGACACTCAATCGTCGGTCTGTGTTCAAAAGTTGTCTCACTCGCGTCACATTGTCGTCCGTGGTGCTCGTTGATGGCCGTCCGGCGCGGACCTCGTCATCGACTGTTTCCCGGCCTTCCAAAAAGGCCTTGTGCCACCGGAACACTTGCCTATCCGACAGGGCATCTTCTTTATAAGCTGCCTGGATCATTGGAATAGTTTCCGCCGCGGTTTTGCCAAGTTTAACGCAAAACTTGATCGCAATTCTTTGTTCTACCGAGCGCTGCATTTCGATTTGCACGGGGTCACAAAACAACTCTCACGGAAACGCCTGTCCTCACTCTCTGGAAGGTTGGAGAAGAATGAGCGACCCAGCATCCGTTAGCTGACTTCTCCCACTAACATTCTCAACCAATCCGGGCGCGCTTCGACGTACAGTCGCGCCAAAAGAAAATCACTGACATTAGTTTCCGGACAAACCCTGTATAGTTGTCCCTGTATTTGGTTCCAATAAACATGTTTTGTATTTACTGCAATGTCCCCGTCTTCATTTTTTTATATAATATATGTTTTGTCGTTTCGTAATGCATTTTCTAACGATACACTTTTATATTTACATGAACACTTTACTTCGAAGAGAGCTACCTCTCCTACAATACCATCAAGACGGGCAACGAAATACCCACATACCTCGAGCCACAATCCAGTTGGTGACACTTCCATACCTGTTACAACTTTGAACGTTTCAATTGCACTTTGTTCATTTTCTTTTCCGCACTGAATCGCTAATATAGAATTTTAGTTGTAGCCCTCTAATAGGCTGTTATATAACGATGGTGGAAAACTATTCCTTTTGCAGGCAGCAATAACTGCATCAAAATGGCTAGTAGTAAGTCTATACTTTCTAGCAATAAGCCAGTTTTCATTTTTCGATTGCCCACATGTAACTTCAGCAATTTGCAAAATTTTTCTTCTGATAGTACGCAGTTTTAAAAAATTCAATTTTGTTTTCACTGGCAATGTATTCCGGTGAAAAGAAAATAGTGTCTATTTGGGGAATTAACCAAACTAAGGTTACTTCAGGTTCTGCCTGTAACAACCATGTGAAACCTATACCACATGAGAATACAGTTTTTTTAAACTCCACTATCTCAGCAGTGGTAGATTTTCTACTAACAGCACAGTAATTTGTTTTCTTCGGAGGGAACATCTCATTCAACGATTTTGTTTCTTCCATTTTGGAACTCCTCGGGGTATTCCATGCACAAGCCTTACCAGTGATATTAACATGAATACATAGAACAGCCATATGATGACATATCACTTGTCTCCTTGGGTACGTACATTTTGCGTATGTGATACCATCCTCTGCATCGACAGATAACTGATGAAAATTTTATTTCAGGTATATGATACATAGAACACATTAACAATAAGACATGTAAGTTTATATATAAAGTTATCTGGTATTAAGTTCGTTTACAATATTTAAATGGCGACGACACATATCAAACTCATTTACATTTAAGTAACTAAAAAGATATGTAAAGACACTAATAAATTACTTACTAATCACCAAGTAACCATTTTAAATTGGAGTCAAATTTACTTCAACAGATTATTTTCTACCCTCATGCTAGCTTTCACATCCCCTTTAAGTAAAGCTGGAGTTACACTGAATAGGAATTTTCTCCATGTTCCAACTGGGCAATGTTTCCATTGAAGAAAGCCGACACCATTGAAAACTTAATTACACGCTTTTCACCCATTTTAATTAAGAAGAAAGTACATTTTCCAAAAGCAAAAAAATATAACGTGAAAATCTACTATAAATTTAAGGTTATGTTTATCAGTTCTTTATTTGCAAAACTTTGCACGAGCCCCTTCCTATCTCCCGATGATACGGTGGTTGGGATGGGAATCGGTCGTGGGTTTATCTCGAAATGAGGCTTCGTTTCAAGGATTTATTTATTTTATGTTGCACATAAACTACATTGCTTTTAACTACTGGTACAGGGACCAAATAGACAAACGCTTCTAACTAATAATACTCAACAATGTATGACCTCTAACCTACTCGCTAACAGTTTTCGCCATCTTTTTTTTCTCTGTTCTTCTTCCTCGGCTACGTTCACTGTCCCTATTGGCATGTTACAACTTTCGTAATTAAATATATTTATTAATGTAGTTATGCTATAATTTATATCCTTAAACTATTTTAATTACATACATTTAATGTCTATTAGAACGCGTCTGAAACACTTAAAAGGCAGAAAAAGAAACTCGCCATACAACACAACACAAGCCCAAAGTTTGTTTGGATAATGGACTTTGTCCTGGGTTAACAAAGATGGCCGTTCTGCGTGATCACTAATAGAGCATACACCATTAATGAACCTTCTAACCGGCCCGATTCGATATTAGATTGAAGTAGTTCATTTAAACGCACAGAGGAGTCATCAAAAACGAATTTGAGATGTTCCGACCCTCTATTCAAGAAGTCATATTTCGCTATAACATAATGAACATTCCTTACTTATTTATAATAATATTTTTAATATAATATTAATAAATAAATTTGGTAGTGATTATTTGCTTCGATGCCTTTTATTATAAGTTCTGAATTTCTCAAGAGCGTGTAATTTTACTGGATCTATGTAATCTTTCCCTGGATTTGTTGATACAAATTTTGCAAATTTTGTGTCAGGACCATTCACAATTTTTGTTTATTTTTTTGCACCACCAAAAGAGAGCACATCTGCCAATAACAACCTCACACAATTTTGATCCTATGTTATGTTGAGGGCAAAATTTAAATTTTGAAGAATATGGTTTAAAACTTTTGAGATTTTATTTGTAACTAACCGAGGTATTAAATAAAACAGTGAATTCATTAAATGTGTTACTAGAAAACTGACATTTTTGTTTTAAGCAAAATTTTAATAGCTCCACACATATAAACTAAACTACAGCGAGTTATTTTTGTTTCTTTGTGAGCGATAATATTTCTTGGTATTTCTGGCAGATCTTTGTCAGTGTCTAAGGGACGTACACCGATGATCAAAATTGAGCTACATCCAGATTTGTATATCTATGACCATGACTCCTGATATAACTAAAAAAATTTTCAAGAGGGTCTTGATTGAAAGCTCCTGTTAATACAAACTTGAAGCTTTTTTTTTGTTATCAGAATTTGCCTCAGATATATGAATCGGTAAATTTTAAGTTTTTCAAAGTATTTGCTTTTGCATTTTGAGTGGTTGCAATAGATGTGTAGCGTTGGGTGGTAATAATACAAATTTTATGTTGTTAGCTTCACAAGCCTCTATAACACCAATTGTTAGGTGACTGTTCAGATTGTCCCCTATCAATACCGTCTAATTTTCGAAAGTAGGGCAATGCAATTGTAAGGAACCAGTCTTCGAACAACTCTGCATCTAACCATCCACTTAAGCTTCTGTTGTATCTGGAACCTTGAAACCTTCTGTCCGTCCGTCGTACATGTGCTTTGATTTATATACAACGTACGGTGCAAGCATTGTTCCAACAGCTGCGATGGCGAACATTACAGTGGTGCTGGTTTTTGATGTGTTTATTGTTCGATATGTGTGTTTAGAGCCCCGTTTTGAAACTACTTTGACTGCCCCACAGTCGTCAGCAAAATTTGTCTCATCGTAATTCACGATATTGGAGGGTGGAACGTCTCGAATTGTCTTGCTTAGATTATTAAAATATTCTTCTATAGTTTCATACTTCAGACTAGCCCTAACACGTTTAGTGTTTTCAACCAACTTGATTGTTAACTGTGGATGCCGCCTCATAAACGATACGAACCTTAAGCACCAAGCTTTGTTTTAGTAATAAGCTTAAAATTGAGAGGTGATTATTTTATGGAAGAGTTTATGCAGCAGTTTTGGAATTACTAATACTAATAGTTCTATAAAAGAACTAATACTATGTTTAATCCTAAAATTGCTGAATAAATGTTTCCATAAAATAATCAGTTCTCAACTCAAGCTTATTACTAAAACAAATCTTATGTGTTTATGTTTGAGCTTCATAAATGCGCCTTTAGTTAATTAATCTACTTTATTTTGGTATAAATAATAAACTGTGTTATTGAAATACCCAATTATTAGATATTATATTGATATGATTCTTATAGATCTTACAGTTTAATAGGGAATTAGAGAAACAAAACAACATGGCGATGGCATGGTAATTTGCTACGTTAGATCGATTGTAATTTGTACTAAAAAATATATCTTTTTACACATTAAATATAGGTACAGGGATGAGTCATATAAAACATTATAAGGCCTTGCAGCCAGAAGTCAGTAGTTTATGCTTACCTTTCTGTCGTCCATTGTCGCAGTATTAGCACTATTAGTATATGGTTTCACACCTACACATGCACATCAGCCAGTACTCGACCCTTGTCTGTTGCCTCCTTGTCCCCGTCCCCGTTGCCCGTGCCTGCCTAAAAACATATAAAAGGTGCCAGCGCCAGCTCTGACAGCGATAACGGCGAACGCTAAAACGATCGCACCGTTCGCGGTAAAATACAAATACCCAATCTGCGCATAGGATCTTAGTCATGTGTAATCAAAACTAATCATTTTATCTAAAAGCATACTGCACGTTTATGAGTCATATTAATTTTACGTCTTTTTTACAATAATATATAACGTTTTAGTGTCCTCTACGATATATCGTTATAAATACGTTAAGACAGTTCCATTTCATTTACATTCAGAAACTGACGTATTATAAATGTTGCAGTGATAACGTTTCTTCAGATACCGTTTCAAAGACGTTTATGTTATATTATTTTAGACAGGAACTAAAACATCTAGCATATGACGTATTTAAAACGTACATTACTTTAACGTAACATAATGTCTTTAAAGCTACGTTTTACAAATGTTTTCAGAGGAATGTTGCTTAAAGTCCTTATTTTTAACGTTACAAAATGTATTTTTTACGTTTCTTGCGCAGTGGGATGCATTCCATTCCAGAAGCAGTTAATTCAGGGTAACTACTGAATAACAAAACATTGTCGCTATCACAGCCATATCCTTTTGTTGGTTTAAACACTTAGCACATGATTTGTTCATTTTGAGTTTATTTTAATCTCATAAAATAGTAAAATCCCTGTGTATATAAAAAACTACCTACCTCAAGATAAGCAACTTCTTGCGACTGCAGACTATATTTCTTTATAATGTTTTTATAGGCACGAGTAACGAAATATTAACAATAACATAATTTAAACATTATTTCTAAATA